TCACCATCACGAATAGGTTGACCAATATGATATGTCTGTGCCTCGACTCACTGACGACATGTTTTCGCAGTCTTACATCTTTAGATATCAGAACAGTCGTCTGATCTGTAGTTTTACCGAGTTACTGAGTTGTCCTACTCATGATTGCGTCATTTTTGTCTGAGTGTGAATGTACATGGCGGGTAGTGCAAGCGTAGAAAGATAAACCTACCCTGTCGACGCACCCTGTCTTGCTCTTTTTGGAGTTCATACGATTCCATCGATTTTTGTTTGTTACCTTGGTCCGTCTCTTCCTAATCTATATATGAGATTTGAACATCGGTAAAGTGCTGTTGTGTTAATTTTTGCACAAAAATCAGATCAATATATGCAGGCAAAAAAACAATTTTGATTTCGGAATAATGGAAGGACGGTTAGAACTCATCAAAGATACCAGTGTTATCCTTTGGTACCACTATTTACATCGTCCACATTGGGGCTTGGCCATAAATAAAAAAATCAAAGCCCGTAAGCTGTTAATGAAGCCAGTACAAACAATGAGATGAAAAAACAAGAACTTCAAAACAGTACAAATATAACAGCAAAGATAAAAATGAATCAAGTTAAAAAAAACAAAAAAAAAACAGATAAAGTAGTATAAAGGAGATTGAAAAAGGGAAGAAAGTCTAACAACTTGGAAGATGCTTTAACTCTGTGATGGATGGAAGCAATGAGAATAGGATAATCAGTCGAACATTGAAAAAAAACATACTTAAAAGAACGTTAAGAATCAGAAGAATTACAGGAAAGAGAGGGATATCAACAGTGCAATATTATGTAGATAATGTTATATCACACGAGTAGTTGTGGTTGTGTGTGTTTGAATTCTTGTATTATAATCTTATAATTTTGTCTGAGTCTTTAGTTTTCTATGTTGTTTTGTGTTCTGTTGTTTGTCTTTTTCTGTTTAAGCCATGGCTTTGTCAGTTTATTTTCGACTTATGAGTTTGAATGTCCCTTTGGTATCCTTCGCCTCTCTTTTATAAGATCACCCTGCGGCTGGACCCTCAAAACAATCAAACATCTGACCCCAATGCGTGTATCTCATATATCCCATGGATCTTGAGGTTAATGATACTACCAAAGCAAACAGATGTTCTTCATATCTTTATCTTTTCCTCGATACTGAAACAGATGGACGACTTCAAACTAAAATCTATGACAAAAAAATGATGATTTTAACTTTCCAATTGTAAAACTTACAATTTATCAGCTGTAACATATCCGCCGCTAAAAACTGTCAACCGGAACCAAAAGAAAATTCAAAATGTAAGTCATCATTATACATTTTCCTCTGTCCCATCGAATGGCGTTTACATATTTCAATTAATTCGTTACGCTTATGCATGTTCACAATATACGGATTACATTTTACAGGGGCGTGACCCTTACACAAAAACTGCTCCAAAAGAGTTATGATAAAGAACGACTAAAATCGACACTACATAAGTTGTTCGGTCACCATCACAAATTGGTTGACCGATACTATGTCTATGTGTCACAACTCACTACCGACATGTTTTCGCGGTCTAGGATCTTTAGATAACAGATTAGTCGTCTGGTTTGTAATGTTATCGATTGTGACATTTTGACTGAGTGTACATTTGCGTGATGGGTAATGTATGCATAGCAGGAGATTTGAACATCGGTAAGTTACTGCTGACTACATCTAGGATAGCGACACATGACCATGTGCACACGACACAAGATTTGACAGTCCTTGATAGTATTTTAAAATGTGTTTGCTCATTCGGATTAGTTAAAAATTGACATGGTGATGAATTTTCTATTCCACATTAGATTCCAACATTGCTTTGCTCTACTGGTGATGCAAGAAGGTTTATTGTTATGCAAACCTTTTCCTTAATTAAAGGTTATCATAACACTGTTTTCGCTAGAGAGAGAACCATGCATATCAAGAAAGGTTGGGGAAGAACTTATCAATCTAACTTCCAATGACTGGAGGTGCGCTGAAAGGTTTCTTCAGCAAATTGTCGGCCACCATTTTATTGGCAGACGACTTACACGGTCATCACGAACAACTGTTTAAACATACGACTACAAAACAAGCCACATTAGTGTCCATTCGAATACCAAATGTCTGTTGAAATGTTAATCCATCACAGTCAACAATTATGTTGTCGATGAAAAATTCAAATATTTTGATGATATCATCTTCGGTGTATTTATTGTTGGAATCAGTGTGGTTCTTCACAAAGTAAGATGTTCCATCACCTTAAACAAAGAATTGAATTAGACTTCAATATTTGTTTAATGAGACGATGTAGTCAATCTCTCAATTGAGCATTGGGAATAGAAGTATTAAGTGTAGAAAAATCAAAATTATGACATTACTAAACATTGTATAAGGATTGTGTTTGAAGATTTTGGAGTAGATCTTTAGAGATTTTAAGAATCCACATCTGATTAACACCGCTGGTTGATTATGCCTCATCATAATATTTCTGAAGGCCATATTTTACTGTTGAAAGAATAGTGGTAAGAACTGTATAAAGATGTTTAGTTGACGACCCTGCTATATATCATTCTTTACAATGCTTTTTTGTGAAGATTACGTATCCAAAATAAAGACGAAAAGGGTGGATTTGTGAAATCTCCTCTTTTGTGTGTGATGTATGGTATATGTGAGATTCCCAGTTGTGCTGTGAATTGAAAATTCTTAAGTAAGACATTCCACGTAACGATTTTGGCAAATGAAACAATAGTGTTAGAGGCTTTGTCTGCTGGAAAGACTGAAATAATAGTCCAAAATTGTTTCATAAAAACAAGTCGAAACATAGGTACAAATATCTTGTTTAAGGAAGTGTTAAATCATAAAATGCAAAACAAAAACTAGTCTGATTCGAACATAAAATTATCTGAAACAGAATATCAAGATGCTTTTTATTTCTTTTAATTGAAAACATATTTGTTACGTTTGGAGGACGTGTTTTTTCAAATGATAAAATGCATGCCACATTCATAAGGGATGCAACTGTGTTCCTCTTCTTGTCGATTTGTTCCTTTATTTATATGAGACAGACTTCATACAGGAGTTTTTTATGACAAATGAAATGAGCTTACATTATCCTTTTAACTTAACGTTCTGCTATATAGATGATGTCCTCACTAAATAATTCAAAATTTGGTGACTATGTTGAACTCATCTATCGAACCAAGTGAAATAAAGGATTCCATAAATTCAATTACATGACTTGCATCTAGACATTAACAATGAGGGTCAGTTGATAGCACAACTTTATGACAAAAGGGATAATTACAACTTTCCAATTGTGACGTTTCCATTTCAATGTAGCAAAATTTATGCAGCATCTAAATATTGAGTATACATCTCCCAGCTGATACGAATCTCTAGATCTTGTGTGTCATATCATGTGTTCCTTGATAGAGGATTGTTGATAACAAGGAACATGTTGAAATAAGGGTTCCTAGAGGTAAATTCATCCTTCGAAAGTTTAACTGGCGTCATCATGAGTTGGTTGACCGTAATAGAATATCTGTGTCACCGACAACTATGGATATATTCCAATTTTTGTAGCCATTCCCCCGTCCTCTTTTCTAAATGGTGACATCACAAATGAGAAAACATCGAATTTGTACTGACCATGAACAATTAAGACGGGTGCTATATGTGGAGCAGGATCTTCAAACTCTTCTTGAGCACCTGTAATCACCCCTGGTTTAGTTGGTGTTCGAGTTGCTTGTTCTTATTGTTTTGTATGTAGTGTTTTGTAAACTTGCTTGTCTTTTCGTTTTTTGCCATGACTTTGTCTGTCCCTCTTAGACTTATGCGTTTTAATTTGCCCTTTAGTATCTTTCGTCTCATTTTTAAGTAGTTGGATCTTAAAATGAACATTTTACTTACACAATGAAGGATAAAACAGATGGAAAAGGTAAATTCAAAATGTTGGAATAGCCAGAATAGACCGGTTTACTCCTTCTCTGCCCACATGTAATTATACCAAATATCAATCAGTTGACCAATAAAAAGGACCAAGGGTTCAGGGGCAGACCCAGCATCCGGTGAAAGCAGGGTATAATTGTATAAAATGGAAAAATCAACCACTGAAAGTAGCGAGACAAATTTTGTTTTTAACAATTTCAAGCAAAAGAAAATTTGTTGTCAATGAAAAGGGGAGCGAACTCCTCTACACTTTTTCCTGAATCTGCAACTGGGGTTTACTGAGCATAAAATTATGTAGTTTGTTCAAAGTATATAGGTGTCATGTATCTTTTTAGGTAATTTATTTATCACTTTGTAGTTTCTTTTTGTGTGTTAATAAAGAATAATTAATTACATTAGATTTATGTTTCATTATAATACGTTATTCTGATTGGCTAACTGCAATCTCGCGTTATTCCTTAATCAACTTCATTACACAATGAAATTTATCATTCATGATGACACAAGGTCCCACAATAAAGTGCACATGTAAATTAAATAAAAACTTGATAAAAATCGTGTTTTCATGATCCTAGCTAAAAAATGTAATTATAAGTATTGAATGCTTCTTTTTGTAACTTCATAGGGTTGTAAAAGCGTTGACTGTGTGCACATTTTTAGAATGAAGCACTTCATACAAAATGTACTTTGATCAACGCTTTTACACCCCAATGAAGTTACAAAAAGAAGCATTCAATTCTTAAATAAAAAACTTAAATCAAAATATGTTTTCCGTTCACTGATATTTATTGGCAGTCATACTACATCTCCTTATTTATACTGATACATTATGTATAAATTTGAACATTTTTTAAAAATGTTATTGTATATCTTTCCTATGAAGTAAGTGTACATATAAAATTAGGAAGGAGCTTCTATAAATACTCACATCAGGACTTGTTGATTGCTTACCAAATAAACATGTCCTTGCTCTGAAAAATATATGTATTTGTAAGAAAGAACAAATTTGAAAATGTTCTTAATAAATAAAATTGAATTACATGTTTGCTTAGAAAAATATATTTATTTGTAAAACAGAACACATTTGAAAATGTTTGTAATAAATAATATTTTTATTCTTTATTTAAAATATGTTCCAGAACTTCCAGTATCCAACATGTTTCTAAGTCGACAATGTGGTTTGTTAAGTTCTGGAATTTAAGAGCTCTCATTACTGGTATATTTCCTACTGCCATCAACTGTCCAATAACCATAGCATACTGTCCTGTAATATAAACATCAGCTGTTAAATACCAATAGCATATTATACTTGAATATAAACTGTTTACACCAGGATATTATACTTAAATGTAAACTGTTAACACCAATAGCATATTATACTTTAATATAAACTGTTAACACCAAAAGCATATAGTCCTATAATATAAACACTAACTGGCCAATAACCAAAGAATATTGTGCTGTAATATAATCATCAACTGTGAAAATACTAAGTGTACTGTCCTGTTGTATGATCAACAACTGAAGTGTTCCTCAACATAAACATCAACTGTCCAATCACAATATAGTAATATTAGTGTAAAATATTAAATATCCTATTTTATCAACCATAGACTACTGTATATAATCAATTATACAATAACCATGTATACTTAAGAAATAATTCATGGGGGCTTTAATTTATACTGATATCACCACAGGTTGGCCTTTATTGTTTAAATATTTTACCAAGAGCGATAGCGAGGGGTAAAATATCGGCATTAAGGGCAAACCCATGGCAAAATCAAAGTGTTTGAGGAACGTCCTAATAGAATACTAATTTAAACATGAAATGTCTGATAACTACTATATTGTCTTGTTATATAAACATCAAATGTTTATAAATATCTATTGGTGATTGCACACCATCTTGTCATATGACCATCAGTCGTCTGTAGCATAGTATCCAGTACTATGAACTCTAAAAAAACTATGGGATAATGTTTAGTAAAAACTGTCCAATAGCACATTTTCCTGCAGAAATGCTAAAATACATATGGTTTCAGGGCCATTTTGATTCAAAATCCTTGAAGTTGGCTTCCAAACCACTTAAAACCTTTTAAAATGACCCAACCTACAGCCTGTAAGTTTTGTCCATGGTCCATAATTCTTTCAAAAGTAATTCATTCAGTAAGAAAGGCTAATTTCAAATATATACAAAAAATCATCATGCAATACTTCTAAAAATAAAGTCAATTCAAGCATGAAAAGAAAGTGTATCACTTTTCATAAAATAAGTCAGAGTGAAATTTCATCAAAAGTAGGACTCATTATGGTATTAAATTATAAAATTCAAATCCATGTCAATATCTAGATCTACGGACATGACAAAAATTACCAACTGCTGTTCTAATTTAGAATTACAGACTGATGGACAATGGTAAATTGATATGCCTGAGCTACTCTGTAGCAAGTTATATTTGAACATATATTCAGACTTCTACAACTGGCTCTTTTCACTGAAAGTGGACAACAAATTATAGATTTAAGTAGAATGACTTCACAAACATAATTATTCATTAGCTGTTGATTAAACTTCCTGAAATGGTGTAAAAGGTGTCAGAAGACTGACATTATTCACAGAGTAGTGAGTAATTTATGCAAAGGTACCAGGTAAATGACACAGGGTCCTTGGAACTACTAGTTTTGCAAGAAAAATTTTGTCTATGTGTACCACCATAATTTGTTTTTAAAAAAATAACTTGTATTTTCATTTCCCTACATTGTACTATGTACCAACACAAAAAGTACTTAATGATGTTTTAAAAACTTGTAAAATAGCCTCCTACTGGTTTTGATTTGAGCGCCACTGAGTCTTGTGAAGATAAAACCTGTGTCTGCATACTAAAATACAAGCCTGATATCTTTCATGACTTTTTATAAAAGTAAATGGTTTCCTGAAAAATATATGTTGTGACATGGAACTATTTTATGCCATCAATAACAAATTGTTTATCCTCTCAACATCTTTTCACAGTTCCTATTTCCTGATTAATGTTATTGTTCATTATCAATGAAAGAAATCTATTCAATCAATGACAACTCTTACAAGTTTATCATGCAAGGAAAATTATTCTATTTTTTCTTTTTCAACATCAATTTATGTAATTGTTAATCTGCACTTTCATTGACAGCAGTAATGTAAACATATTTTCTAGGAAAAAACAAATTCAATAACAAATTTCAACTGTCAGATCAAAGGTTAGAAAAGTACACAACAGGTTAACAGATCATTAACCATATTCCTTACAAATCAATATACAAGACCATGAGAACCAAATATCTGCAACAAAAACAAAGAAACTATTTTAAAGCTGATCAGCTGACAAGTATTTTACTGTGATTGTAGATCTGGACATTTATGAAGCCCACATCTCTCAACTGCTATTTATAGCTATATCAGAATAATTAACCATTTATGTGCTTTGATCTAAATGTCTCATGTGTGATTATTCTGCTAAGCTATTTTTGAAGGAGTTGTGGATTACTGGAGTATGTCATAGACAACAAAGAAGTGATCCAAGGTGTCACAGACAACAAAAAAGTGATCCAAATATGTCACAGACAACAAAGAAGTGATCCAACGTGTCACAGACAACAAAGAAGTGACCCAAAAGTGTCACAGACAGCCAAGAAGTGATCCCTATGTATCAGACAACAAAGAATTCATCCCAATATCTCACAGACAAGAAAGAAGTTATCCAATGCCTGAAATGATCCAATGTGTCACAGACAACAAAGAAGTGATGTCAATGTGTCACGGACAACAAAGAAGTGATCCCAATGTGTCACAGACAACAAAAAAGTGATCCATATGTTTGTCAGACAACAAAGACGTGATCCAATGTCTCACAGACAACAAAAAAGTCATCCCAATGTGTCACAGACAACAAAGACGTGATCCCAATGTGTCACAGACAACAAAGAAGTAATCAAAATATGTCACAGACAACAAAGAAGTGATCCAAATATGTTACAGACAACAAAGAAGTGGTCCAATGTGTCACAGACAACAAAGGAGTGATCCAAATATATCACAGACAACAAAGAAGTGATCTAATGTGTCACAGACAACAAAGAAGTGATCCCAATGTGTCACAGACAGCCAAGAAATGCTCCCTGTGTGTCAGACAACAAAGAATTCATCCCAATATCTCACAGACAACAAAGAAGTCATTCCAATGTCTGAAATGATCCAATGTGTCACAGACAACAAGGAAGTGATGTCAATGTGTCACAGACAACACAGACTTGATCCAATGTGTCACAGACAACAAAAAAGTCATCCCAATGTGTCACAGAAAACAAAGAAGTGATCCTAATGTGTCACAGACAACAAAAAAGTCATCCAAATATGTCACAGACAACAAAGAAGTGATCCAAATATATCACAGACAACAAAGAAGTGATCTAAAGTGTCACAGACAACAAATAAGTGATCCTAATGTGTCACAGACAACAAAGAACTGATCTCAATGTGTCACAGACAACAAAGAAGTGATCCCAATGTGTCACAGACAACAAAAAAGTGATCCAAATGTTTGTCAGACAACAAAGACGTGATCCAATGTGTCACAGACAACATCAAAGTCATCCCAATGTGTCACAGACAACAAAGACGTGATCCCAATGTGTCACAGACAACAAAGAAGTAATCAAATTATGTTATAGACAACAAAGAAGTGATCCAAATATGTTACAGACAACAAAGAAGTGGTCCAATGTGTCACAGACAACAAAGAAGTGATCCAAATATGTCACAGACAATAAAGAAGTGATCTAATGTGTCACGGACAACAAAGAAGTGATCACAATGTGTCACAGATAGCCAAAAAGGGATCCCTGTGTGTCAGACAACAAATAATTCATCCCAATATCTCACAGACAACAAAGAAGTCATCCCAATGTCTGAAATGATCCAATGTGTCACAGACAACAAAGAAGTGATGTCAATGTATCACAGACAACACAGACGTGATCCAATGTGTCACAGAAAACAAAAAAGTCATCCCAATGTGTCACAGAAAACAAAGAAATGATCCCAATGTGTCACAGACAACAAAGAAGTAATCCAAATATGTCACAGACAACAAAGAATTGATCCAAATATATCACAGACAACAAAGAAGTGATCTAATGTGTCACAGACAACAAAGAAGTGATTCTAATGTGTCACAGACAACAAAGAAGTGATCTCAATGTGTCACAGACAACAAAGAAGTGATCCAAATGTGTCAAAGTCAACAAAGAAGTGATCCAATGTGTCACAGAAAACAAGGAATTGTCCCAATGTGTCACAGGCATCAAAGAAGTGATCCCAATGTGTCACAGACAGCCAAGAAGGGATCCCTATGTGTCAGACAACAAAGCATTCATCCCATTATCCCCTAGACAAGAAAGAAGAACCCAATGTCTGAAATGATCCAATGTGTCACAGAAAACAAAGAAGTGTCCCAATGTGTCACAGACATCAAAGAAGTGATCCCAATGTGTCTCAGACAACAAAGAACTGATCTCAATGTGTCACAGACAACAAAGAAATGATCCAAATGTGTCACAGACAACAAAGAGGTGATCCCAATGTGTCACAGACAACAAAGAAGTGATCCCAATGTGTCACAGTCAACAAAGAAGTGATCCAATGTGTCACAGAAAACAAAGAAGTGATCAAATGTGTCACAGAAAACAACAAAGAAGTGTCCCAATGTGTCACAGACAACAAATAAGTGATGTCAATGTGTCACAAAAAACAACAAAGAAGTGTCCCAATGTGTCACAGACAACAAATAAGTGATGTCAATGTGTCACAGACAACAAAGAAGTGATCACAAAGTGTCAGACAACAAAGAAGTGATCCCAATGTGTCATACAGACAACAAAGAAGTTATCCAATGTGTCAGACAACAAAGAAGTGATCCCAATGTGTCACAGACATCAAAGAAATGATCCCAATGATTCACAGACAAAAAAGAAGTGATGTCAATGTTTCACAGACAACAATGAAGTTATCCCAATGTGTCACAGACAACAAAGAAGTGATCCCAATGTGTCATACAGACAACAAAGACGTGATCCCAATGTGTCACAGACAACAAAGAAGTAATCAAAATATGTCACAGACAACAAAGAAGTGATCCAAATATGTTACAGACAACAAAGAAGTGATCTAATGTGTCACAGACAACAAAGAAGTGATCCCAATGTGTCACAGACAGCCAAGAAGTG